GGAGGATTTCAGATTTTTAAATTATCGCTGGGTTAGGTTCCTTGTCATGTACATTACTGAATAAACCAATTATACACAGATATGCTGTGTATATAACTCAACCAGTATGTATTCTGCAAATATTCCAAAATCTGAAATGGAGGATTTCAGATTTTTAAATTATCGCTGGGTTAGGTTCCTTGTCATGTACATTACTGAAAAAAACAATTATACACAGATATGCTGTGTATATAACTCAACCAGTATGTATTCTGCAAATATTCCAAAATCTGAAAAAGTCTGAAAGCTAAAACACTTCTGATCCCAAGCATTTCAGATAAGGGAAACTCAGCCAGTTCAAAACCACAGCATGCTCACATTTGAGACCGCTAGCATTGCAGAGTGGCAGAAGTGACTATTTCAGAAAGGAATATCCAGCAAACACACACAACACGTACATATATAGTTAAAAACCAAAGCTTCTTCTGAAATATTTAGGAAGAAATATCACCAGGGAGGACAGGAAACATAAGTCAACCTTGCAAAAGGTTTGAATTATCAGAAAAGTATTTCTCTATCAAGTGTTCAGCAGCCATTCTTAGATTTATGATATTGAGACAGTTAATGGGAAAGAAAAAGATCCAGGAAGTCCTGGGCATACAGAAGAGTACTTTAAATCCTTATGAATTTATACACACATATACGTATAGTCACATGAGAAAATGACTACAATATTGGTATATGAGAAAGCAGATTAAAAAACACCATGATCTTATTTTTGAAAATATGTGTGAGGATAGGAAAAATCCTGGGCATAAAAACATAAAAATTCTAATAGTAATTATTTCTGGGTGTAACTACATTTGATTTTTTTAAATGTAATTTAAGATTTGTTTTTACAAAGATAATGTGTTTTATAATAGAATAAGCAGTAAAGCTATTTCCATTTCAGGGAGAAATGGGTTGTGTTTTTAATTTATAGTAAGATTCCTATCAGTCAGCTTGACTCTTTGAAGTTACGGAATTGCCAAAGGCTGTGCTGACTCGCACAGCTAAACTCACTTTAAGCCAATTCTGAACTCTTATGTAATGAAACACAGAGAGAAGAGATCTTTCCATAGCTCCCCTACACTGCACCTGAGCCACGGCCCCCCCATCTTTAGTTTCTCGTATAAAGTGCAGCGAATCTAGATCTGATTAATATTGTGCTTCAAATTTGGAGAAGCTTAGAAATGTTCAGAGGAGGCTGGAAGGCGGAGGAAGAACCAGGCAAGCCGCAAATCAAGTTCCCTGTGATTCGCTGATGAGCCATGTAGTACTGTGGTGGTGGTGGTGTTAATGCTTTAACTTCTGTGAGTTTTCTGAACCTTTATTAGGAAATTACAACCACAAAAACCCAAGTGTATCTATTAAATAAATAAATCCTAGCTTTGGTACCAAGAAATTTATATCTCCAGTGGGGTAGAATTAGAACGTGCTGGATCGCTAAATTAATGACCTGTGTTTGTTTATCATTGCTTACAGATGGAATGGGGATACTGGTGTATCAGGCAATTCTAAATCCTATACTCTTTTAGGAGATGACAATATCTTTTAATTTAGCAACTTCTATACTGGAGGTACTTTCACACACTAGTGTATGCGAAATTTATGTGTTTATTTCTCCTTTTTTAGGTGGTTACGGACCATTTCTATCATCTTGTTCTTAAACAAACAGGATATGCTGGCAGAAAAAGTCTTGGCAGGGAAATCAAAAATTGAAGACTATTTCCCAGAGTATGCAAATTATACTGTTCCCGAAGACGGTAAGACTTCAAAAAAACATTCTCACAATTGAAGAATAGAATTAATTGTTCTTTCAATAGTCCTGTAACTATAACTCAAACACTTCTGATCAAATCTAAAATATCAATTAATGTAAAGCAATCCACTCTTTTACTGCCCTATCCTAAAGTGCTAGACTATTAGAAGATCCTATTTAGGATTCCACCTATAAAGGTTTCAGAGTCTTGACTTTCCATTCAAACTGTGCAACAGAAGAAAGGGCCGTTTGGGGGTGTAGATAAGTCACTTGCTGGGGTAAATTCTCCTCTTGGTACCTGCGACTGGGTCTGTGGTGACTGGGTGCCTAGGTAGCCCTTTACATAGACCTTCTCACTTATCCCTCACCGTAACCCTATGTTGGCATTTCTGTTATTTTTCCAATGGAAAGTAAGGCTGCGGGGGAAGTAACTGGTTCAGGGCCACACAGGCAGAGCCTGAGTCCTGTGTTCCAAGCCTGCGCTTGCCACACGTGTTCACAGGCGCCTGCCTCCAGCGTGGCCTTTGGCTACCACGCTGGTGATTTCCATTAGGGAGACCAGCAGTCCCAGGCCGCCTGAGACTGAGGGGGCTCCCGGGACCTGGGCCTTTCGTGCTAAGCCACCCTTCTCAGAGCTCCATTTCAGTTCTCAGTGTACACCAGCTCCACCAGTCTTGTAGGACTGATTTGTTTAAGGCAAAATAACACCACTTCTTAAGGTTCAAATTCTAAAGCAGAACAAAGGGACGCTCCTGGAAACTATAGTAAAGATTTTGGGATTTATTTTTGATCATCAAGGAAGAGAGAGAAGAAAATGTGCATTTGTAATTAAACTTTCTTGCTCCGCATATTCAATTTTCTTTTCTCCCCAGTGGCGGAGACTTATATAAGTATATTCACAGTAAAACCCCGCCGCTGGTGTCTCCTTAGCAGGGTGACAGGACGCTGGGGCCGGGGCTGCACCAGCCCTTCCTCTCCCAGCTCCAACTTCTTTCCCTCCTGCGGCCTTGGTCCTGCCCTCATTGCCCCCATCTCGGTGACCACCACAGCTTCCTGCCTGACCACCCTGTGTCTCCTCACCTTTCCGGAATATTCTCTGAACACTGCCAGTCATCTTTCTGAAACACTAACATACGTCGCTTGTGCTCCCTGCAAGGGGCCCCGCCACCCCTGGCGCAGTCTTCCCACACCTTACGACCAACACCCCTCCCACGACACCCACCTCTCCCTGAGCATCTGTGGCACTTCTAGTGGCCTGGGCCACCTTCCAACTTTGTGGTCCTCAGCTCTGACTTTGTCAGCAGTAGAAGGGAATGAGCTACTGGTCCATATGACGCACGGATGCAGCTCACAGCAACTGTGCTGAGTGAAGGGATCCAAGTGAAAAGACCACAGGCTGTGTGAATCCATGTCCCAGAGTCTAGAAAGTGCAGACTCATCCATAGTGACAGGAGGAGTAGGAAAGCAGGACTGCAGAGGGGAGGAGGATGCTTTTTGCGGTGCTGGACATGTTCATTATATTGATCGTAGTGATGATTTCACATGTGAATACATGTGTCAAAGTCATTGAATTGTACATTTAAAACACGCAGTTTAGCGTTTGTTGGCTGGCCCTCAGTAAAGCCAGTGCCCAGGTCCCACCCCAATAAACAACCCGAGAATCTCTGGAGGCAGAGAAGGCTGCAGACTCCCAGCAATGCCATGATGCTGCGGGCTGGAACCACAGCAGGTGCCATGCCCCCGTCCCTCCTCCTCCCCACCTCTCTCTCACCCCGCTGTCGGCACCAGCCCTGTGGCCAAGCATAGCAGGTCTCCAGTTCGGATGTGTCTGGGCCCCCACAGCTGCCCATCACTGGCTCCCAGGAGAATGACAATGTCCTCACAGACCCTGCAACAGAAAAGACAGAGAGTGATGAGAACACTCAGATGTGTCACCTAGATCTTAGGAAAATAGATTTCATGGGGTCATAGGAAGTAGGGGACTGATCCCATGGACACAGACTCTTCGCGAAGGCCTAGATCTGGAAGGTCGGCTACAGTTGATTCCACTGGGCTCCAGATGCCTGACCCTGTAGCAGGAACAGGGAAGGGGGGTCTTCCTTAGCAAAGCTGATGGAAGCTGAGTGCAGCCCAGGTGAGCACAGTCAGTGCTGCCCCCAGGGAAGCCGCCAGTGTCCCTCTCCTCATGGCTCTGCAGGTAAGACAGCTCTGGGGTTCAGGTGTGTCAGTATTCAATGAGATGCTTTCATTTATTTGACTGGAAGTTAACCCTCTTCCCCATCCTGTCTTAGTCCATTTGGGCTGCTGTAGGGAAAATAGAATAATTTAATCAAGCCCCACCCCCTCACCTTAGGTTCAGTTGGGGGTGGTGCGTCACACTCTTTGTAAGTAAATTGGTGGGGGAGTGTGCATGCACAGCACCATAGCTTGACTGGCGTCTGCCTCAGGCATCTGCCCCATGTGTGGCCATGCTCTCCAACCTACGGCTTCCAAAGACCTTTTGGCCAGTTACCTAGCTCATAGACCTGTGTGTGAGGAGGAGTGTGCATGCACAGCACCATAGCTTGACTGGCGTCTGCCTCAGGCATCTGCCCCATGTGCGGCCATGCTCTCCAACCTACGGCTTCCAAAGACCTTTTGGCCAGTTACCTAGCTCATAGACCTGTGTGTGAGGAGTCTGGTGACCCAGCCTGGCATGTGAAGGGTTTGTGACCCAGTCTGGACAATGGGCTTGAGGGGTCTGTGAGCTCCAGGCCCAGCCCTAGCTCTACAGTTGGCCCAGCCGGCGGGATTGGGGGCAGGTAAAAGAGCTCAACAGCTGCTCTAACAAAATACCTTAGACAGAGTAGTTTATAAACAGTAGAAATTTATTGCCCACAGTTCTGGAGGCTGGGAAGTCCAAGATCGGGGTGCAGATTTGGTGACCAGTGAGGACTTCCTCTCTAGTTTGCTTCATCCTCACATGGTGGAAAGGCACACCAGCTTCCTGGGGTCATTAATTCCATCCATGAAGGCAGATTCCTCAGGACCTAACACCAACCAAAGGCCCCACCTACTAATATTATTGCACTGGAGATTAGCTTTCAACCTACGAATTTGGGGGAAATAGAAACATTCAGATCTTGCCACCACCAAAGAAAACTTTTATCAGAGCTATAACTATTAAAATTTAAATGATTTGGGAGAAGAGGGGAATGAAAATTACATTTTCATGTTTGCCTTGCCATATATGTGTTTTAATGCTATGAATATACAGTAGTCCAACTTTGTAACTCCTTACATGTTTCCATAGAGTCGTAACTTTGTTTCATATTGCTTAAATAAAATTTCATTTATAATTTCTACAGCAACACCAGATGCGGGAGAAGATCCCAAAGTTACAAGAGCCAAGTTCTTTATCCGGGATCTCTTTTTGGTAAGTAATTTCGTTAACATCTGTTTCCCTACCACCATAGAGTTGTATTGTTTTTTGCAGTTTGCAATTTACTTACACTTTGATGATCTCATTTAATCTTCCCCAAAATTATGAGAGATGAGAAAAGGTATCGTTACCTATGTTTCACAGCTGAGGTTCAGAGAGCTCAGATTTCTGGCCCAGGGCCCACAGCTTCCAGGCCGCAGGCCCCCTGGGGAGTGCACTCGCTGAGCTAGACCTGTTCATTTGTGTTTTCCAACAAGGACAGTCCTTCAGCAGAATCTGAAACACGGGCACCCACACTTTGGTACCCCTCGTCCTCCATTTGAAAGCACTAACCAGCTAAAAGTTAATGTAAAAATGGAACTGCTCCAGTTCAGGCATTCCCTTTTTTTCCTTCAACTTTTTTTTTTTTTTCCTTTTTGTCTTTTTTCGTGACCGGCAACGGATCGCAACCCTCAGTGTCGCGCCCGTACCGGACCGGGACCGGCAACGGGATCGCAACCCTCGGTGTTGCACCCGCACCTCGCTCA